TGAGCCCCATCTTATTGGCCATGCTCATGAACCACCGGCTGCCGAGTTTCTCAGGCTCGCGCAGCAACTTCAGCTGGAGGCCGCCAAATTCAGCCTAAGGCCACTATGTTAAAGGTGGCTGTTAGGAGAAATTAATTGTCCTTAGATATGACGTGCCGACGTGATGGGACCAACCCTGACGTCTGTTATGTCCTTACAGCGGGGAAGATAGCTGCTTCAGCCATAATGGTTGTTGTTCCCATTCTATGGGACCGGGCACCTAGCGTCACAGTATGGTTTATTGGGGTGCACTGGGACACTTCCTTCTTTGTGTTTTGTGGACTCCCAAGTGTGAAATCTTTTCGAGGCCATAGGTATCGGACGCACAGTGACTCAGTGTTCACCAACCTGTCTTAGGCTATCTTTCTCAAAAATTATTGTTGATTACTCTCTGTGAACCAGTTAAATGAGCTAAACGACCCGAGGAGAGGCGGCTCCAGAATTGACACGGTGGCAACTCGTACCGTGCAGTCAGACCGTGACTGGCTGGTTGACTTTTTGATGTCGAATCCATCCGGCGCTAACTCCTTAATAAACCATCAGTGTTTTTGACATCAAAGCTCCTGCTCTTTCCCGTGTCTCCTTCATGAATCGCGGTTGACTCCCACTGCCATTGGGACACACGAAGTTTCCCTTACAAGGCATCTTGTCAGAATCGTGGTTCATCTTCGGTTTTTCATCGGTGCCACGGGCATTCGCCTCACTCCTGATCGTGAGAGAATGCGCCCGATGGGCCCACCGATGATAACAAGGCACTGCCTCACGAGTGCCTTACGAAGGGCAAAATTGACACACAAATTCAACACAGAAAATGAACTTCGCAAGGTCCTTCGGCAACTTTTTTGGCATGCCAAAGATTTTGCCACCGCTCACAAAGTTGCAGCCGGAGCCTGAGAATCTTTAGTATGCCGAAGATGGCTTAAGATGCCCTCACGAATGTCCCGATGTTGCTACGATCAGAGCCGAATTTGAACATTTCCTTTATCGTGTGTCCATCTGGTTGTTTTATTGCACAACAAAATCATGTAAACATATGATGTAAATAACCCAATTTGTGTTCTGTGAAACTGAAAAGGATATAATATATTATTTTGAAGGCAAGTTGACAGGAAGTTGTTGTTGCTATGGAAACAACATTATGGAGAAAACTTAATATCTTCTACATATAAAGACGGATAAAGTAAAGAACAAAATATGAAAATATCAGTACAGTATCATAGTACGTTAACATAATTGTTTTTGTTACTTTCGTTGCAGTTGTATGTCTTAAATGTAATGTAAATGTTGCCTTCGTGTGTGGTTTGGGGCCATCTTCGTGCGAAATTCACAATTCCATATTCGTGTGTCCATCGGGTGTCAATTTCGGGACAGTGTGACGCGGGCTTTAACCCTTCACATTCAAACAGAAACTGAATAGGCAGATTCGAAGGATTTATTTATTTGGAAATGCTATTTTAAATACAATTAAATCAAGTTATTTTGGTAAAACTACTGCAAAATATAACTAAACAAATATTTAGAGGGCCCTGACGGCCCGCCACTGCTCAGCGCTAAAGGGGAGCTTAAGAACACTTCCAATGAAGACAATAAAGATGTCTTTGCAGTATAGAAGTAAAAGCAGGAATAACTAATTGCTATGAGGTGTCGTTTGATCTCCACATTATATCTAAGGTAAGATAAACTATATTCAAAACAGTCAGTTATCATTCAAGAAAACATAATTTCTCAGTGTGCTGCTGATGGAAACCATGCTCCCACAATTCATTGCACAAAGGAAATGAAGGAGATGCACACAGCTGGGACACATTTACTGTAACTACAGATGGCGGTGAACCTGATCCAGGAATAACTCAGAAAACAATACAAATACTGTCCGAAGTGCATGAATGCCCATTTCTTTCTTGTTAGTATTCAAGAAATCATTTTTAAAATAAGCAGCAAGTACGATAGGCAGACTGCTTTACCCACCATCAAAAGCACATTAACAACATAGGAGCAGAAAATGTTCCAACTGTTCATCATTTACATTTTACATTCACATCAGTACAAAATGTTTCACTATAACTTGCTTTTAAGATCTAATCAAACACATTTGAATTCAATAATTTAGTAATAGACAGCCAGAGTTGGTTGATAGTGAGAGCTTTCCAAAGCGAAAATCAGTTTAAAATAGTTAAGACTTTAATCACAATGAGGAGAGAATATACACACTCTCCATGAGTCTAAACCCTGCCTCAGGCTGTAGCTGCTTCAGTAAAGACGAGCAGAGCGTACTGCTTCTGCCCTGCTGACACCTTTCACTCTGAATCTTACAGATTATTGAGGAATGGTAATGGAAAGCACTTTCAAGTGGGTTGAACATAACTGTGTTTTGTTTAAAGCCATATTATGAGGATTTATCTGCTTTTATTTCAGTCTTTACTTGCTCAGTTGCCATTTCTGATCCCACCCACATACTCCACCCAGAATTCCAGCTCCTACCTTCTGGTAGAAGATTCAGGGTTCCCAAGAGCAGGCTGAACCGCTATAAGCACTCATTCCTACCTATGTCGATTAAGCTTCTTAACATTCACATGAAATGAAATGTAGTCAAATGTACTTTTTAAATGTTGGCCATGAGGGTTGTGCAATAGGTCGCCATTGTCAGTATGTGCGTCTGCCGTCTGTGTATTGTGTTTGTTCAAACGGTGTATGACTGATGATATGTGTATGTCTCTTAATGTCCACTATGTTTGTATATGTACATGTATGCGGAACTGCAGGACGGAGTCCAGAACAAATTTCCTTAAGGGGACAATAAAGTATATCGTATCGTATCTTACCACATGGTGACAGTTGAACTCCTTCATGACAGAGGCTTCGTTTAAAAACTCGATGCGCTCTCTCATGCTGGCTGTCTCGTTGACCGTTTTGATGGCGACTCGTGTCTCTGGATCGTCTTTGACCACTCCCTTGGCGAGGCCTTCGTACACCATGCCGAAGGAGCCCTGGCCCAGCTCTTTGTGCATTGTGATCTTCTCCCTGGCCACCTCCCACTCATCGGGGACGTACACTGGCACAACAAAGAGGACGGAACGTCAACAACCCATACACAAAGGGGAACTAAACAGTGAGAAAACTGACAAGATATTGCATATTCTTACTCTCAGCACTGAAGTACTCAGGGTTGACAGACGCATAAAGGACTCCATTTCCCAATCTGTCACTATTCCTGTTGACAAAAAGACAGCAAAGTTAGTAGGGATGTAACGATACCAAAAACTCACGGTACGATAATATCGCGATAACAAGTCCACGGTACGGTATTTATCGCGATATTGAATAATAAAGGGAAGAACATTTTTGTAGGATAGCAGTATTTTAAAGTGTCAAAAACAAAGTGACAGTAACAGACTGGAACAAGAAAACCAGTGTTTTTGTACCTACCAGTAGCTACTACCAAACAAAGTAAGCATTTTCTTTATGCCACTGCATCTCACAAATAAACAAGGACATTTAATAATCAGACCCTGCAATAAAATAAATCAAGTTTCACTTTAGTTTTTCAAGTAACTCAACTCAAACTCACTANCGATAAACGATAATATTGTCGGCACCATTGTAAGACCATTTTAGACCACTGACATAATGATAATATATCATAATAATTCTAGTAAACAGAACTTTTTATTGAACATTCAACATTGCAAATGAAATGTGAAATAATATTAAAATATATAAATGATATATAGTAGGGATGTAACGATACCAAAAACTCACGGTACGATAATATCGCGATAACAAGTCCACGGTACGGTATTTATCGCGATATTGAATAATAAAGGGGGGGAGGAAAAAATTCAATTTTTTTTTCTTCAATAAAATATAATTACTCGGAAAATGTTTCTTTATTACATAATACATCTGATTTGTACAGCATTTTAGTAGGATAGCAGTATTTTAAAGTGTCAAAAACCAAGTGACAGTAACAGACTGGAACAAGAAAACCAGTGTTTTTGTACCTACTAGTACTACCAAGCAAAGTAGGCATTTTCTTTGTGCCACTGCATCTCACAAATAAACAAGCTAATAATCAGACCCTGCAATAAAATAAAAAAAGTTTCACTGTAGTTTTTCAAGCAACTCAATTCAAACTCACTAGTCACTCACTCAGCATCATCAGACAGGTTTTTAGGAATATGAGAATGTCCACATTTCCAGGTATTTATAAGCTGGGATGTTTGGGCATTTACAATATCCCCTGCTCTGGAAAAAACTCTCTCGCTTGGTACTGATGT